AAATCTCTTCTTTTTTATGAATTATCCCATACTCTTTTTTTTTTCTTTTCTGAGGTAAGGTCTCACTATGTAGCCCAGGCTGGCCTCAAACTCACAGTGATCCTCCTGCCTCAGCCTCCTGATTGCTGGATTACAGATGTGCACTGTCCCATACTTTCTTTAGTGAATGTCTATTACTCCAAGAGACAAAAAAATCTGAATATCACCTGGGAGTGGTGGTGCCTGCCTATAATCCCAGAACTCTGGGAGGCTGAAGCAGGAGGATTATAAATTAGCACTGAACCTAGGCAATTTAGCAAGCCTCTGTCCCAAAATAAGGAATTTAAAAAGGGCTGGGAGGGCTGGGGATTTAGCTCAGCAGCACAGCGCCTGCCTGGCAAGCGCAAGGTCATGAGTTCGATTCCCAGTACTGGAAAAAAAAAAAAGAAAAAAAAAATTTTAAAAAGGGCTGGGATGTAGCTCAGTGCAGATGCTCTGGGTTTAATCTCCAGTACTGGGACGGGGCAGAAGGGACCTGAATCTCCCTCTGGGCAAGGAAATAGTCCCAAATGACAATGTGTCCACTTCATCCATTGCAGTACACACACACCTTCTCCAGGCTAAGGGTGGTCCAGATGAAGGTCAAGGAAATGAGGCTCTTCTCTGTGGCCAGGGTCTTCTTAGTAAGGTCTCTGAACAAAAAGGTTCATCCTCTGATCAGCCACTTCAAAGGTCCTTTCCTTCACCCAAGTTTTATTCCAGCCTAAACTAATTCACCACAATCCCCAGGGCTAGGGAAAAAATTCTACATGGCTATTTGGAACTTGATACTTAGTTCAAGTTTTCCCAGCCCCTTTCTGTGTCAAAGGAGGCCCTTAAAGCTTCTCAGATACAGTAACTTAGTGGCGACACTTATGGCAACACCATACTTCTCAGTCATCACCAAGAAAATGTGTAAAAAAAAAAAAAATGTGTGAGGAGAAAGTGCAGCAGGGCAGCCTTGCCACACAACCCACCCTCCTGAACAGAAGACCGCTCCTGAGGACAGCCAGAGATTTTTCTGGCATCAAAACGTTCAGACCCAGTTTTAGGTCTACATAAGTCAATAAAAAGAAAAACGAGGGTGCAAACACACCAAAGACAGAGAGTTATCCTTCCAAACCCCGGAGAGCTCTCTTTCTCTTTCCTCTAAACAAAGTCCAACACTGGCCAGAATACTAGCTTCTGAGCGACTGAGCTTGGGTAGTAGTTGGAACCAAACAGTCTGGAGCTTCATCAGACCAGAGACTAGCTCTTTTTCTGGTACTAATAAAGAACTACAATAATTGCCCCAAGCTGAAATTTCTTAGTACTCAACAGCATGGGAACTGCTGCTCAGAGAAACTGGGGAAGAAAGGATCACCAAAAGCAGCGTAACAGAACAGGTTCACAGCCCTTTTCACATCAGGGCACACTCAGGACCAACCAGGGACCTCAGCTGCCTTTAGGATCAGTATCCAAAGCATAAGTGACCCATCTGCAACACGCCAGTAAAAACCCTCCTCTAAGCCACTAGGCTGGGTTAGGACTTGTGGGATCAGTGTCTTAAAGAAACAATTGACTTCAGGCCTGGAGCCCTCCAACCTCAGCTGACAGGCTGTGGATCAGATCATATGTCTGTACCAGAAAGCAGGGAGCCTGTGGTCTTGACTCAGCACTCATACAACTTTCCCAGTCAGGGTGCTTTACAGGGGAGTTTCCATAGATATACCGGGGCTGGGGAAGCCCTCCATCTGACAGCGGGCAGACTGGGGTTCCTGGCTCCATAGGATTCTGAACTTAAAACCATTTTTTGGCAATACAAGTGATCTGAGTCACTGCTGATATAAATTTAAAAGTTACCATTTACTGAGCATATAGATGTCAGATTCTGCCAAATATTTGACTTCCAGTTTCATTAAATCCACACACTAAGCTCATGTGGCAAATGCTATTCTTATGCCCATTTCTAAGAAGAAGCTGGAGAGCCAGGCATGGTGGTGCATGACTATAATCCCTGCACTTGGGAGGTTTAGGCAGGAGGATCACCAGCCAGGGTTATATACTGAGTTCAAGGCCAGTCTGAACTACATAGCTAGACTCTGGTCTCAAAAAACTAAAAAACCAAACAACCAAAACACCAATAAACAAATGCCAAGCATGGTGGTACACACCTATAATCCCAGCACTTAGGAGGCTGAGGCAGGAGGATCGCCATGAGTTCATGGCCAGACTATACTACATAGTAAGACCATTTCAAAAAAAAACAAAGCACAAGGACACACACACACACACACACACACACACACACACACACGCACATACAGGAAACTGGAACTCAAAGGAGTTAAGTAGTAACTTAAGCGCAAACATTTTTCTAACAGGAGACTTGAAGAAGACAATATTTGAATGCACTCTTGACTTGAAAGTTCATATGCTCAACCAGGACACCATTATGTCACTTCAATAACCCTCCCCCAAACAGCTTTTTTCATAAATCCAACGAATTACAATGAAGCTGGCAAACTAGGAAAGAAAAAAGAAAAGAGCAGCTTGTGTGCGTCACATCATCAAGGAAAGAAACTAAGCTGTCTCAAAATAAAAAGGGATGGGGATGCAGCACAGGTAGAGCACCCCCGGATTCACTCTCCAGTACTGGAAAAAGTTAATCTATATTAAGTACTTACTAGGTGCCAGGTGCTTTAATACATCTAGTTCTCATAATCTCACAAGGTGAGAAATTATTAGACCTATTTTATAGAAGATGGAATCTAGGCTCAAAGAGATTAAAACCAAGAGTACTTGCTTTTTCTTCCATACTGTTTCTCCTGACTGTTCAGGAAATACACCTGAACTTGTGCCAAGGTCAAACATCTAGCTCACAGTTGGTACTACTCCCAAAAAATGGTAGCAAGGGCACCTTTCAGGAACAGTGGAAAGAGACATCTTTTAGAGTCCCCAGAAAGCCAGGCATAATGCCATATTCTTTTTTTTTTTTCCCCTGGTACCGGGAACCAAACTCACGGCCTTGCGATTGCCAGGCAGGCACTATGCCACCGAGCTAAATCCCCACCCCAATGCCATATTCTTGTAATTCCACTATTTGGGAGACTGAGGCAGGAGGATCACAGGTTTGAGGCCAGCCTGGGCTATACACAAACAAAGAAACAGTACTTAGAGAACTCAAATCTCTAAGAAAACACAATTTCTGTGTTAGAAAATTGAGGTTAACTCCCCTCCTCTCCTAAGACAACCAACTAGCCCTGGCCTGCCCTGTTGCAATCCTCCATCAGCAGCTGCTCAGGGACACAGAAACAAGACCAAAACAAAAGCCGCAAGGCAACAAATCAAAAATTTATACAGAAGGGAAGAACTGTAAGTGGGAGGTCCAGTTCCATACTTGACCTGGGCTCTCTCTGGGTGCTCTGGATAGTAAACAGCGCACCATGTGCATTTTGTGAATAGTAAACCATCAATTTGCAAACTAAACAAACTGGCCTACCAAGCTCCAGTGAAGACATGATGGACTCTGGTTCTGAGCTCTCACAAAAGCCTAGTGGCCCCTGCCTCAGCCTCCTATCCGATTCACCTCAAAACATCCTTCCCTCTCACTCCTATGGCTAACTGGTGCCAGCTCGCTCACTAGGGGTTTTCACAGGGTGGATTCCCTCCCACTCTTTCCCCAACAGTTGAGCTCTTGTTCTCCATGGCAGTAAGTCCCAGCCACTTCTCCTCAGCCTGAGATGGTCACAGCACATTAGTAATCACTGACTCACCCCACCCCCCTGAGGAGGCCGGGAGAAGGAGGGCCACAGGATATGTGTGGCCCAGATCCCTTCCATCCTTCAAAGAGCTGGTAGGCAGGGGTGCCAGTGGCACAGCTTCCCCCTCCGACGTCATCATGGCCCCTCTCTGCGATGGCTCTGGTGCCAGTGGACTGATGTAAAGCTCTCCACCATCACAGAGGCCAGGATCCTAGACAACTCCATGGCTGCCAACAGATCTAATCTCCCTCTTCCAAGGCAGAGGAAATCCAATAAGGCTACCAAATCCGTAACTCATGAGCAAAGGCGAAGTCAGCCCTTCAGGGCATATCAAGAATAACCCAAGAAATATTATCGCCTCTTCGTTCTCTGGAGAACTAGAAACAATTTCCCCAAGTTTCTCAAAAGTTGTTCTGTTAGCAAACGTTCAGGTTCCCAACATATTCTGGACTCAGCGATACCAGCTCGGAACCTTTCCCTTCACAGAAGCACTGACATCAACACCCAATTCCCACATCAAAGGAGAGCGCCCAAGTCAGCTCTAAAAACCCATCCATACACTACGGAGAGGCTGCAGGAAAAGAACAAAAACCAGTCACTAGGGCTTAACATGAAGAGGGGAGAAAAGGAGACGAGATGGTTTCCAATCGGGAAAAACACCCTAGTGAAATGGCTTAGCCACATGTTCCGCCTTTTAGGCAAATCCACTATAACTTAGCAGGATGCCTGCAGGCCGTCCTGAAAATAAGTAAAATGGCATCACTCTTTATTCCGCCCCCTTCAAGAGCTGCCAGCCCCGCCCCAGTCCCCCACTTTCCCCAAACATCTGGTCTGCGCTGGGCGCGGGACCCACACTCTGGGAAGCCTCCATGTTAACGCGAGGGGCGGTCTCCCCACCCACCCAGAGAAGCCGGGGCTAGGCTGCGGCGCAGGCCGGCCCCAGCGGCTGAATTCGCCCCAGCAGCGAGAGGCTCCGGGCCGGGAATTCTGACGAGGCGGCGCGCAGACGGAGCAGGGCGGCAGGGTGGGAGGGAGGAGGGAGAGAAGTCCGGATCCCGGGCCGCCCCGGGCTGGGGACCCCTCCTCCTCCTCCTCCTCTTCCTCCCCCTCCTCCAAGTGCCCTGCGGAGGGGCGTCGTGCGAGGGCCCCCGACGGACTGTCCTGGACAGCCCGTGGCCGCTCACAGCCGCTCGGGGCCCGGGGGGCGGGAGGAGGAGAAGGGCTGGACTCGGCTCTCACCAGCACCAGGGCGAACCTCTCCTCCAGCTCACAGGGCTCCGGCATCGGCATCTTGCCGGGCGGCAGCAGCAGCGGAACGGAGGGCGGGTCGCCCGGGCCCCCCTCGGAGCTCTCCAAGTTGCCCATCGCAGCGGGGGGCCCCTCGGGGGGCCTCAGCCCCCCACCCGCGCGCCCGCGGTGCCCTGCGCTCGGCCGCTCCACCCGGCTCCTCCCTCGCCCCTAGGTCCTCGTCGCGCCTCTCCTGCGCCGTCGGGGCCGCCGGGGCTGCTCCGTCCGCCGAGGGCAGCGCGCGGCGAGGCTGGGGCGACGCTGTGCACAGCCGCTCCGAAGCGCCGGGAAGCGCGGCGACCAGCTCTGCCTCACATCCGCGGCCTCGCGGCTCTCGGCGCGCCGCCCGGGCGCTACCCCTCCCCGCCCCCCGCGCTCTGCCCTTCCCCCCGCACCTCGCTTCCTCCCACCCACTCCCGACCCGGACTGGAGCTAGCGCCGACCGCTGCCCGCGAGCCGCGCGCCCCATTCATGCACGTCCCGCCTCCCGCCCACGGGCCTCCCGGGCGTCCCGCCCCGCCTGCGCCCGATTGACGGCAGCGCTTGCCAATCACAAAGCCTCCCGCCCTCGGCAGCCTCGCGCCTGGCGCCCAGCGCGCCCTGGCGGCCGGGGTGAGCATCGGTCGCCACTGTTGGAGGGCACGAGGCGCGAATGTGTGCACATAAAGCGCAGGGACACAGTGTGCAAAGCTGGCTACAAAAAAAGTAGAAACACTGGGATACCCAGACGAAGGAGAGAGACCACGTCTGTTCAGTCAGCGTGAGGGAGATGTATTTGAACCGGACCTTGTAGGATAAGGAAGACCTTACCGGCGGAGACAGGTGAGAAACGTGTAGGAGAAGAGGTCCTTATCAATTGTCGGGGCCCTCTGGCTGGTGTGCAGTGGAGAGGCTGGAGTTCTGGGGTCGTCTGCCGGTGAGCTGTCACTGATGATGTGGTGGGTATCTATTGTTTCTTCTGGCCTACTCTCCATCCTTCCTCTGACAGCACCCCATTTTGTTTTAGGGAACCACCACTCCCCCTGTTCCAAGTAGAGCTGAATTTTACCATTCTAGGAGGCCCCATGATCCAGGTGTGGCCAGTTAGAACATCTTTACTCATCTACCCTCTGAGAGTGATTTAGGGATTGTCATTTGACCCAAGCCCAAAATGTCAAGATCCATTTCCAAGAATTTTACTGGGAAGAAGCACTGTGTCCATTTGGGCTGCTGAACTGTTCAATTGTAAACCTGCAGCTGCTGCTGGTGGTCTTGCCCGTCACACCTACATAAGAATGAAGCCAATGCAGAGGAAAAGAACAGCCAGGAAGCAGAGGCAATTCTACTGACAGGCTGGATCTAACTGCGCCTGATGTTATCACTTAGATTTTTTTTTTCTTCGTTTTTTTTTTTTTTTTTGGTCTTTTTGAGACAAGGTCTCGCTATGCAGTTCAGGCTGGCCTTGAGCTCACTTTGTAGCCCAGGATGGTCTTGAACTCGCAACGATCCTCCTGCCTCAGCCTTCCCAGTGCTGGGATTACAGGCGTGTGCCACCACGCCTGGCAGACTTAGATATTTTATCCTTCATTCAACAGATACTTATTAAAAAGCTTATTATGTCATATACTGTTCTGGGAATTGAAAATACATCTGTGAACCAAAAGAGCATAAATTTTGTCCTGGAATTTACATTCTGTGTAGGAAGAGAGGTAAAAAATTAAATAAGTAAAATGTATAGATGTTAGTGATCAGTATTAATAAAAAATAAACTGAAAGAGGATAAATGTGAGAGATAAGTTAAGATTTTTAATAGGAGGAGTTAGAAAAGCTTTGTTAATCAGATTGCATTTAGGTAAAGATCCGAAGGCCGTGTGCCCACTTGGGGAAGAATTATCCAGAGGAAAGAGTCAATTCATACATGTCTGACATGTTAGAGGAAAAACTAGGAGGCAGAGTACAATGAGCAAGGGAAAGAGTAGTGAAAAATAGAAAGATAATCAGAAATCATATTGTGTAGAGCATTATAGATTATTGCAAGGACTTCAGTTTTTCTCTAAGTAGGATAGGTAGCCACTGGGTGATTTTGGGCAGAGAAGTGGCACAATCTAACTTATGTTTCATGACAGACTCACTGTGCTTCTGTTCTTTCTTTACTTTTTTTTTTTTTTTTTTTTTTGAAACAGGTTCTTGCTATGTAATTCAGGCTGGCCTTGAATTCACTATGTGGCCCAGGCTGGCCTCAAAACTCACACCAATCTTCCTGCCTCCGTGCTCGGATTACAGGTGTGTGCCACCATGCCTGCCATATTTTTGCTTTTATTTGCTCAAATTTAACCACAAGATTTACATATTCCAGTTTCTGGGGCCCCTTAGATTATTGCTTTCACTGTTAACTCTCTGCTTACCTATCTTCAATGTTTCTTACTTTTTACGGGATAAAACTAAAACTTGGCTTGGTATTCATGGATGCATATATCATCACCAAACTTTAATGCCTCTTCAGTCTACTTTTCCTACCTTACCTCTCTCTAAACTTTCAAATAAACCCTTTGATTCAGCTGGGAAAGTCCATTTGTTTCAAGGAAGATCCAGCGATGAACAAATGTTTTTCTTTCAAGTGTTTCCAATCTAGTAGAAACCTAGTAGGTTCTCAAACTAACGTTTATAAAACAATGTGATAAGTGTCGTAATAGAAGTGTGTACAAAGTGCTACCAAGAGAATGAACTATAGCTGGGCGTAGTGTCACATGCCTGTAATCCCAGCACTTGGGAGGCTGAGGCAGGAAGATTGTTGTGAGTTTGAAACCAGCCTGAGCTACAAAGTGAGCTGAAGGCCAGCCTGAACTGCATAGTGAGATCCTGCCTCAAAAAGACCAAAAAAAAAAGAAAAAAAGAGAGAGAGAGAGAGAGAATGAACTATAAAGGAAGGCTCTGGGGAGTAGATGACATTGAGCCAGGGCCGAAGGTTGACTAGATGAACCAGATAGAAAGATCATTGTGCAGACAGAGATGGAATGAAGGGGGAGGATCAGGAAGGGGCAAAGGCATTCTGCAAAGGAGAAATGAAGAACTATGGAAAAGTGTGAGATGTTTGAGCAACGGTAAGGGATTCAGTGAGGCTGAAGTATAGGGTGTGTAGTGGGAGGACAGAAGCTAAAACTACATAGGCAGGTTGAATCAGCTTCAAGAGGTCCCTTGTGCTCAGCTGAGGAGTCTGCCCTTTGTTCTGTGGATGGTTTGCTCTCTGGAGTATTCCTTCAGGAGCACTTGAGAATTGAGAGAGGTTTACAGAAATGATATGGAGAAGATAAGAACCTGAAGCAAGTCAGGGCAGAAGGATGAGCAGAAGTTAAGGAAAAACACATACTTAGTTACCTATTAGATAACAAGAGCAAACAAATATTTTTATAATGTGCTTCATAATTTATATATCCATTATCAGATTTGATGTTTATAACATCATAGGAGGGAGATGTTATTAATTTTATGTGTGAGTGAACAGACTAAAAGAAGTTAAGTAACACGACCAAAGCCATCTAACAAGTAACCTGGCACTGACCCCAGGCTTTGGTTTCAAAATCTCATGTCACTCTGATTCTTGAGGAGTGAGGGAGAAATGAAGACTGAAGACTTGTGGCCAGCTTGGAGAGCCCTCCGCAGTCCCTCTTCCCTCGTCTCCTGCCCCAGCCCCATCAACAAAGCCCCGACGTTATCTCTGGCTCCCTCCCTTGGGTCTTTAGGGACACCTCCTCTTTGGTCTCTTTCCTGGGAAATGGGAATGCCAATATTTTTCCCTTAATACTTTTCCCTATTGCAGATAAAATGCTCTTCTCTTTCTTTGCTGGATGATTCCTACTCATCCATTACAACTAAATTTAAAGGTTACTTCAGAATACCATATTAGGGGGCTGGGGGTTTAGCTCAGCGGCAAAAGCGCCTGCCTGGCACACGCAAGGTCGTGAGTTCAGTTCCCAGTACTGGAGAAAAACCAAAAGAATACTGTATTAGGAGCCAGCCAAAGTTCAAGGCCAGTCTGAACTACATAATGAGACCTGGTCTCAAAAAAAAAAAAAAAAAAAAAAACTGTATATAAAGTTACGATTTCTCTACCAAGTCTGTATTTTTTTTTTGTCATTTTGAAACAGGATCTGACTATGCATTTCAGGCCAGTCTTGAGCTCACTTTGTAGCCCAGGCTGGTCTTGAACTCACTTTGTAGCCCAGGCTGGCCTTGAATTTGTAATGATCCTCCTGCCTCTGCCTCCTGAGTGCTGGGACTACAGGCGTGTACCATCATGCCCAGCTTCTCTACCAAGTCTAATTGACAACATCTCAGCGAGCACATAGTATCCTAACATATGAAATCATCACATTGTGTAATTTCCTTTAGGGCAGGTAGATACTCCTGGCATCTAGCTGTATCACTCATTTCATGTTGGTTACATGCTCACGGAACAAATAAATGACTACTCACATTGCCACATTCTTCCCTTGTGATGAAAGACCTTTTATTCTTTATCATTTCTCCCAGATACATCCTGACTGCTTGTATCACTTAATCTGTGCAGGAAACAGAACCCCTCCAAATGTTTTAAACTCACAAGAAAGCACTGTAAGTGTTTATAAAACCTTTCAGAAAGTCTAGAGTGGCCAGCCTGAGTTGAAGCTCCAGGAATGCCCACCAGAACTTGTGGCTGTGCTGTGCCAAGGAGGCTGCTACCTCTGCCAAAGTCAGGGAGGGTGAGGCACCTGGAGGTCTATTAAGAACAAAGACTGTGGCTGAAATCCAGGGATCTGAAAGCTGTATTAGGACATTGCCACTGCTGCACTCTGATGCAACCAACTCTTAATATTTGCAAAGATAGAGACATCGCAGGATCACTGCTATATAAATATGCTACATCTTGGAGTGGATAGCGTGAGGATCCATGTGCTGTCTGTCTCCATCGTCTGAAAAGAGGAAATATGTAAATAAATCAACAAAGCAAAATAAATAAATATGGCCGGGCCTGGTGGCGC